TGCAGAGGGATCTGGACAGGCTGGATTGATGGGCCAAGGCCAACTGTAAGAGGTTCAACAAGGCCAAGTGTTGGGTCCTGCCCTTGGCTCCCAACGACCCCCTGCAGTGCTACAGGCTGGAGGAAAAGTGGCTGGAAAGCTCACCAGCAGAAAAGGACCTGGGATTAAAATTTCTTCACCAAAAGCATTTGTCAAGTATTGGAAGGGGTTGCCCAAGGAAATGGTTGAGTTACCATCCCTGGAAGAAAGACAGGTAGATGTGGAACTAAGGGTCATGGTTTAGTGGTAGACTTGCAGTGCTCGGTTAACAGTTGGACTCAACAATCTTCAAGGTCTTTTCCAACCTTAACGATTCTGTGATTCCAAGTTATGTATCTTTATTTATTCTGGTCACTAATGGTGTCCCCCAAGGATCAGTGTTGGGCCCAGTCCTGTTTAACCTCTTTATTGATGATCTGGATGAAGGGATTGAGTGTACATTTAGCAAATTTGCAGATGACATCAAGTTGGGGAGGAGTGTCGATCAGCTGGAAGGCAGGAGGGCTCTGCAGAGGGACCCAGACAGGCTGGATAAATAGGCCAAATCCAACAATATGGGGTTCAACAAGGCCAAGTGCCAGGTCCTCTGCTTTGGCCACAACAAGCGCATGGAGTGCTACAGGCAGGGGACAGAGTGGCTGGAGAGCGGCAAGACGGAGAGCGACCTGGGGGTTCTGAATGACAGGAAGCTGAACATGAGCCAGTAGTGTACCCAGTGGCCAAGAAGGCCAATGGCATCCTGGCCTGGATCAGGAACAGTGTGGCCAGCGGGACCAGGGAAGTGATTCTTGCCCTGTACTCAGCGCTGGTGAGGCCACACCTGGAGTACTGTGTCCAGTTCTGGGCCCCTCAGTTCAGGAAGGATGTTGAGGTGCTGGAGCAGGTCCGGAAAAGAGCAGTGAGGCTGAGGAAGGGACTGGAGCACAGGCCCTATGAGGAGAGGCTGAGGGAGCTGGGGTTGTTCAGCCTGGAGAAGGGGAAGCTCAGGACAGACCTCATCACTCTGCAACTCCCTGAAAGGAGGTTGTAGCCAGGTGGGGGTTGGTCTCTTCCCCCAGGCAACCAGCTGTAGGACAAGAGGGCACAGTCTTAAGCTGTGCCAGGGGAGGTTAAGGTTAGACATAAGGAAGAAGTCCTTTACAGAGAGACTGGAGATTGGAATGGGCTGCCCAGGGCGGTGGTTCACTCACCGTCCCTGGAGGTATTTAAGAAGAGACTGGATGTGGCACTTAGTGCCAATGGTCTAATAGACAAGGTGGTGTTGAGTCAAAGGCTGGACTCAATGATCTCAGAGGTCTTTTACAACCTAGCTGATTCTGTTATTTTAAATCAGCTTTAAAACATTTAGAAAATTTATGTATCTCTTTTTGGTTAGCTTAACAATTTTTGCAGTAATTATGCTCTAAGCATTTGAACAAAGTAACTGTGAGAAATGAATGTTTCTCTTTTCAAAAACTGCCTTAAAAAAACCCACATAGTAGTTCCATGCACTTTAAAATGCTCAGTAAGAGATCCTGCAAGATTAAAAGCTCAATCAAAAGGGATTGAATCTAATTACAATTATAGAATTAAAAGATTTTTCTTCCTAATACTTCTTATCTCTGTAAAGCTCTATCTCTGTAAAATTTCATGGACTGAAGAAGCACTCTTATCTGTTGCAGAAACTAAGCCCTTCCATAAGGAATACTGTGTTCCAAAGAATTATAGCCTGTGCTGGTTTAGAAGTAAACGGGTGGGAAAAATGAACCCAACTCAAGAGAGATTACAAGTCAGAGTTACAATTTACTGAAAAAGATTCCAATAAATCCAATGATACAGAGAAAAACTGGTTTTCACCCCCAACAAAACAGATATATAACCCAGCACCCTGGGACAAGAACAGAACAGTGTTCCACAGCCCCTGTGCTGAGCACCACGTGGCCCCCTGGGTGCAAAGTAAAAGGAATGGAAAACCTGTTGGTCTGGATGATGATCACAGTTGTGTTGAAGTTCTGGTCCTCCTCTGGATCCGAGGAGTGGTACCAGAAGTCCCAAAACCCAAAGTTTATATATGCTCAGGTTCAAGTGGGAATGCCCGGTACCTCCCCCAGGGCAGGGAGTTTAACGATGGGTGATTTAACTCTGTGAGTCCTGGGATACTTTTGGAGTCTTTAATGGTCTAGGTCGTTGCAGCTGCCTATTATGCCAGTCCAGTATGGCCCATTAGCAGACATGACCCCTCAGGCTGGGTGTGAAGGTGCTAATGCCTCCCCGGAGGGTACTTATCACAGTTATTAGCGTGAAAACAAAAGAAACACTCCTCACAGGGTTTCTTTAACACCCAGCTTGTAGCCTGAGGTGTCAGGTGTGCCCTGGGCAGCTGCTGCAAATGATCCATTATTAACAGTCCATCAGAAATGACACAGAGGTTATACCCACATAGTGATAAACTGGTCCCCTGGTCCCTGTAACTAGAACATAGCCATAACAATGAACTGATCAATTCAGAGTTTTCCTCTGTTTATGAAAACTACCCCTTTGATTAAAGAATCGCTGAAAAATTACATCTCAAATGATTTAAGATTTCAAAAGATGAGAACATTGGGATAGGCTCAGAATTGGACAGGGAACACACAGAGGGCAGAAAGCACTGCCAGTGGTGTTACTGGCCTGCCCAGTAACATAGACCTGGGGCTTTTCTGTGGCCACTAGATGTGGGACCTGAAGCACGCATCCCTAAAAACTGGAACTTATCAACTGCAACCTCATGCTGCAGGCATTCAACAGTCACTTGTTCCCAGTAATCTACCAGCTAGAAAGACAATATACAGACAAACTCTGGAAGATAACTGTATCTTCTCTAGAATGTCATTTCACCCTTTTGCTTATTCCACAGAAACTGGTTTTCAGTTTTCTTTGTATGAAATAGGAACTCAAACACAGATACTGGAATTACATGGACTGCAGAAAAGAAAAACAACAATCGAGGATGAGCATAGGTCTAGGAAAGAAACCATTACTTTGGATCATTTGAAGACAGGAAAATACTTTTTTATAACCTACCTGTGTATCTAGGAACTACGTCTTCCATTTACGAGGAATGAAAACAGCCTGAAATCTATTTCAAATGAAGCATCTCTTTACAGAAATTAACTGTCAATACTTTCCATTCATCCCACCTTCCCAAGAACATTTCAAGGAATTTGAAGCACCTATATTGAACTTGAACATTTTTTTCTCCATTCATAATAATGACAATATTCATCTGCCTCAAGTCTGAGTTGTAGTACTTGTTTCTTGTTGCACTACTCCATTCTATTGCAGCTCTAGACCAATCCACTTTTAATGCTTCTCTCTGTATTCCTTTCTAAAATATTTTGATCACATTCCCAGTCCTGATGAGGTGTTCTACATGCATAAACTACATTTCACTTTTTTTCATTTCAGCTAGATAGAAAGAAGAAAAAAAGGAAACTATAAATAAGCATACGACAGATATTCTTAAAGTCTGATGATCGGTGAAATTAAAGAGCCTTACAGTTATCAGGAAGAAAACTCAGAGGCAACAAGGTAGACTTAGAAAAGAACGATTTGCTACATAGAAAAGAATGATTTGCTATGGTTGCTGCATTGCAAAAAGCAATTGCATTTGGAACTACTTCTATTCTTGAAAGTACTCTATGGCTGGGAGCTCTCTTGCATTCCATGCAGGCAGCTACAGAATAAACCCTTTTCAAGAATCTGAAATGGAAGTGGTTGTTCATTTTTTTTTATGTTTCTTACTTTTCTAAAGCCATCCAGGTGAGAACCACTTTCACTGGTAACCTCCCTAACTCTATATGCAGCCATTCTAAGATGTATAGGAGTGTCACAATAATGTCAATGGTATATTAACTTCAAAAACTGGTAATTGTTCAAATGTCAACATCAGATGAGATTTTCAAAGGTGCTTAGGCAATCAAGCAATCTCATGATTCAAAAAGGGACCACTGAAAACCCAAGGCAATGTCTTCTTCTTTACTGCTGAGCACCCTAACAGAAACATCCAACCAATGTGTCTATTCAGCAATTCCAAATTTCCTATCACAAAGCCAAACCTACCCTAAAGTCTACCTTACCCTCCTCTTATCTTAGAGATCAATACAGTTAACATTATTTCTGTACCTGTGCTAGCAATACTTCTGTAAGTTAGGGAAATGCTGTTATTTCCATTTTACATGTCACGTCAATCCAGGTTGAGCAGGACATGAGAGGTGTATGTCAGCCCTCAATAACATAACAAAACAAATGTAACTTGTGAATGAAAAATATCTGTGACTTGTCCAGAACTTAAAAGTGTGATTTCATTATATGTTTTTTTTAACAGCAAAATAAGCACTGATTGTATTATTCACATAGAGAAAGGATCCTCTGTTTTTTAATTTACATGAAGCAATTACAGTTTTTGACCTGCCACATTACAACACGCAGACTCAAGGAAGCTTCAGAGCTGCTCCTTGTTGAACATTATATGAAGCCTCAAAATTAGCCATTCAAAAAACTACTTACACATGAGAAAGACCCAGAAACAAGGCAATTGAGGGGCACAGAACAAACACTACTTTCCTTATATCGAAGAAACAGGAAGTTTTTGTACCATAATAAATGTAAGATGTCCACAAGTACAACACAAATGTTAGAGGCATACTATGTTATACAGCATACACACACCAGACAGCAAGAAAGTCTTATCCAAACAAACAAATCCTGCTGCCTTAGTCCAAAAGATAACTTTTTGTCATACTAAAAATGCCCAGATTTCAAGACATGTTAATTTCAGAAGGAAAAAGTCCTTTCTTACCTTACCTTCAATTATTTTTGCTCTAAATAGTTAAAGCATATATATAATCTGGAAACCAGCATCAAAGCAATCCTGTACAAATCCCTAATTTATTAATAAAACAAGGAAAACTGAAAGGCATTTAACAGGTGGCTCTCCTTACCTTCAGCACAGCAATGAATGGTACAAAATTAGCTCTCTGAAGACCATTTTTATAGAGATCTGAAAGAAAGAAAATCAGTACCATTTTGCTACTTAGTCTTAATAACAATGTCAGCTTGTCTACTAGTCTAGCAAACAAAACTCAGTGTTGCTAGAGACAGGAGGAGGAACAAAAGGCAGAAAAGGAGAACTGAAATGGATTTCTCTTCTTTTACTGTATGAAAATTCAATACATTCTTAAGGAAGAAAGAAACACCCTGAGGAAGTTTGAAAAGGGCAGGGAATGAAAAAATTATTTAGATCTCTAATGACATAAAACTGATTCTAACAGAAGAAATTAGACTATCATTTGTTTTAAAGTAAGGTTATAAAAATCACTTGTAATGCTGGGTATACATTGGTATGATTATAAGGCCAAACTGTGCAACTGTTAAATCCTGTGTATTTGGCAGAGGGCAAAACGCCCACATAAACTAAAAATACACAATTTGAGTTTACAAAGTCAGCATCATTCTTTTTCAGTGTACTGTGGTACACTTTATCTTCTAGCAATTCTGCCAGGTACACCCCCTTTTCCAAAGCAAGAAAAAGGGTCATCCCTAAGGCTAAAAAAATGAAAATTAAATTATTATGTTAACTTAGGCAAAGTTGCTAAAAATACAATCTAAATTTAAAAAAAATGCATATCTGTACTCAAAGAAAACACAAATTAACAAAAACAACTGCAAAACAGCATTTTTTGTCTTATTTATCACCATATATTTATACAACATAAACTTATCTTCTCTGGAAGTTATCCAACTGCCCAAGAAGGTCACAAGAGAATGACTTCTTTCAAAATGTAACCACTTAAACTGTATGATGAGCTGCTCTGTTTCATGAATATTAGGAAGCCTTATAAAAAGGCAGTAAAGCACCTGTAACTGATGGGAGGAATGAGCAAGATAATGCAGACACCTGGTAGAGATATCACAAGAACTCCACACAAAGACCATTCCAGGTTATGATTATGACTTATATTCCCCATAATGCTTGAAGGCCATAGCTATGCTAAAGCTTTTATGCTTTGCCAACACCTCACGGTGGACAGAAGATGCAGCATGCATGACACACCAACACGACACCTACAGAATGGTTTTCACAAAATTGGATATGTACATAGAAATATTTAGGAAAATTATCAGTGAAGGAGATTCCACATCCTAATTACTAACAAAGCTGTAGGAAGCCATGTATCATGCTCATTCACAACTCTGCAAATCAGGATGGCTATACATTTGTTAAAAGTGTATGGCAATTGCATATTCACTTGCAAAGATTAGTGAACATGTAACAACACTATCAGACAGCTATTCCTGTTAGGTCTTTTAATTAGTAGGGTTGTGAGTTCTGTATTATGTCTCTGTTTTGTGAGGATGAGAAAATAAACAGTAATTTTGGTGGAGAAATGAAGCCAGGATTCCTCAAATACTGCACCTGAGTATTTCCCCTCATATCCCCCTAGGGCAGAAGTTCAACACAGTTAAGCGTAGCACTAAAGTTCAGCAGCTCGATACATCTGCTCTCTAATGAAAAAGTCACTTTTCCTCTTTGTATCAACAGGAAACAAATCTCTCCATTCTTAAACCTTGATGTGGCATACTACAGTAACTCAACTCTCTTTCCTGTGGGAGGATTTTAGACGTGCCTTGAGCATGCAGGAATAGTGACAAGGGAAGAGACAGGCATTGACCAACACCTGGACTGCAACATAGTTCAGTTCTGGAGATGCTGTTCTTGACATTCTCTGTTGGGCAGCTAGAACAAGTGCATGGCTTTTGGATTGATAAAGTGACTTAATATGCATTAAAAAACCCCATAGGACGATAATGGTCGCAAACTGATACCTCAATTTAAGATGTTGGATACAATTCCCAAGTTATGATAAAAATTTCTCCTGAACTTCAAAGAGCAGTGCTCCAAAAACACAAGGCTGGCTCTCAACTGAATAAGGCATCCAGTTTATCTGTAGTTGACCCAGCTACAGTAGTTATGATTTCATCTTCTTTGCTCAAACAAGTAAAATAAGCCAAGAGGGAATTATTAAACCCTGTAGTAAAAACCTAAAAAACTTTGGGTGGATTTGTTTTTCTTTTTTTTTTTTCTAAGATAAGATGCATTGTAAATCTATAGTGATTGTCTTTTACTTAATTAATTTGGGTAGAAAAATTAACTGGTAGTTACAGTTAATACTGTAACTCTTCAGTATTTTTTGCAAACATTCAAAATTAATCAGTCTAAAAGTTGCATAGAAATTATGCATTATGCTAACTGCTAATGCTACACTATACAAATATCTTTCTGCTCTACAAAAAATTACAGTTGTTAAAATCCAAACAGATTTGGGCACTTTGTAGAATATTTACCTAGCTAGTCACTACCAGTGACTAGTTATTCTAAAACAAGTTAGAAATGGAAACAACTAGTGAACTCAAACTGGGCTTTAAGAATGGCATCCTGATAAGGGGTTCTGCTTTGAGCTGATGGATCAAGTCTGCAAGTTCCTGAGTTAGAAACTGGGAAGGATCGTACTTCCATTTCCCCTCTCTTCTGCAGAATATGGTCTTTTCCTATTCTGGCATACATCTAAAATAGGCAGTATTTTACCCCTCCTCAACATCCCTGTTCCCAAATACCCTTCCACTGGTTTGGATAGAGTAGAGGAGATCAGAAAACATGGAAGGATTTGGGAGCGATGGGGGAAGGAACACCCTGAGTTTGAGAGAAAAGAGGAGTATGATTTAGTAAAAATCTTTCTTCCACAAGAACAAGAAAAAATACAGGGCAAACCAGAATATCTTGGATTCTTGCAGACTAGAGATTTTACTAGTGTTAAATATTACTACAACTGTTTTGTAAGATACTGAGATTCATAGTATTTGGATAATACCAGTAGCATGTTTGTTTTTACCTTCTGGCGGCCTGTTAGATGTTGCCACAACGACAACCCCATTTTGGAAGAGATTTTCAAAAAGCTGCTTCAGAATCATGGCATCAGCAATGTCAGTGACCTGTAGAAGACAACACATTTGTTTTATCTTGCTTTCAGCTTCTGCCGCAATAGATCTGCAAGTGGCTTTGTAGCTAGGAAAAATGCTTGTTAGTGAAAGCCATTGGAGAAAGATTCTAATTATTGCTTGGTGAGAAAAAAATAAAAGGGATAATTAATAAGCAGCGAATGTACCACAGCCTTTCAAAACTTGCCCACTCTTTATTGAGGAACTCCACCATTTCTTTACCAATTGCTAAATGATTCCGTGTTAACTTCTATAATAAAACTACAGGTGGGAGACAGAAAACAGACCTAAACATTTAAGAGGCCTACTTAATTAGAAGCAACATGAAAAAAAACCCAGAAAATAGAAAGAAAATACACACCGGCTGTTTTACATTTCTATTACCTTTGAGGCAAAGGTTTGCAGAGGTGAATTTAAATGGTCATGGGACTTCAGAAATAAAGACAAGTAGCCAACTATACATAATCAGCTGCTGTTGAAAATAGAATGATATGACATAGATACTATTGTGTGATTGTTGCAAAAAACAATTCAACAGATGGCCCATCACAAAAATAAGCAATTTCATTGTTCTTTTTAAGTGCCTTCTATTACTGTCCATGAATAATCAAAAGGCAGGCAGTCACTTGCAGCACAGTCAGCCTCTTCTAACCTTCAGGCGCAAAACACGAATGAAAAATAAAAATGGGTAGGACAAGCGATACTGGGGAGGGGGAAGGAGGAAAAAACAGATAGACAGAGGAAAAAAAATAAGCCTTTAAGTAAAATTTCTTTAAAGATCTTAATTTTAGCTCAACAAACTTGCTTTCTAGTGCCAAGAAATAAAAGGAAACAGAAACCACTCTGTACAAATGAAAAAAACGTAATAAGTTTTTTGGATAAAAAAGCCCCTTGTTACAACAGTAATTCATATTTTATAGGAGTTCACCAGCTGAGATCAGCAATCTTAATACATAAACCACCTTTATGATCATTACACTTGATTCTCCTGCATTCCCTGTGGTTATTATGTAGACACTTGTTGCATTTTGACTTACCAAAACAGACCCTGACTCTGAGGAAATAAATCAGTGGTGGCATGGTGAGAGTTACACATACTCATCACATAACAGACTGACAGTTTGCTGTGCTTTCACCAGCTTACATGTGTATGCTGTGATAGTAATACCTGTACAGAAATATTTTAACCAGTATAATTTTTGACTCTACTCCACACCCCTCCACCTCCCATCGTTCTCACATTTCTAAATGACCTTTCTGGGCAGAAAAAAAAGAAGATAATTCTACAGTAATTTATTTCTTCTGAATAATAAAATTTAGGAACTTCCCCCATTCCTAAAGAACAAGACACACAAGGAATCACTACAGATGTGCATCTTAGGAGTAACTGAATTTGTTCTACCACAAAGCAAACCTAAAAGCCAAGTTTTAAAAATCTATTATGTGTCATTTTGTTACAAACTTTTTTGTTTAACAATACTACAAAGCAGGTTACCTTTAGAAAACAGAGAGTGAAAGAATATAAATGCTCATAAAACAAAACAATAACATCCTCTTATTAATAAGAACTGTTATTTGATGCAGGATTCTGAACTCCATTACAAAAAAAACCTAAACAACAAAAAAAGTTCTTGAAAGCTCTGTCAAAAACCAAGAGCCATTTTGAGGACCAGAATCCAAACATGAGCTCTTTTTATGTAATCCCGTTTCCTTTCGGAAAGAGAAAAAAATTCTACAGGGTAAAGCAGGTAGGAGACAGTAACTAAAGACTGTAAGTTCTCACGGTTTTTTACTGTATCTAGCATTCATTGAAACAGATATGAAAAGCAAAGGCTACAAATTAACAATAAGGAGAGCCAGCTAATGGAGAGAATGCAGAAATTTCATGCATTTAAAAGATTTTTATTACATAGTGCTGCTTTCCATTATAACTCACGTTACAAAAAAAAAAAAAAAAAAAAAAAAAAAAAAAAAAAAAAAAGNAAGAAGAAGAAAAAAGAAGGAAAAACACTAGACTAATAGTTAATTTACATGTGTAAGTGCCTGAGATTCAGTCAGCCACTGATTGGTACATTGCCATGTAATGAATGGCAAACATAAGCATGTATTATCAGCAATTAGTATTAGCACAAAAATAAGAGCCTAATTTTTATTAGAGGCTTTTAATAGAATGCAGGTTAGTAAAAATTCCCTAAATTGTAGTTCACTTTAAATCCAAATGGTACTGATGGCATATTAAGACTAACACTACATGATCACTCAGCTTCCCAAGAAGTAGGGATTCTGTTTTCATTTTCAATACTAACTAACATAGGTTACAGTCCCACGCCAAAATTAGACCTTCTAATTACCTGTGTATAGTTATTTGATCACTAAACAACAACTGGACTCTTTTCACTAGCCAACCTCTGTGTTCTAAAACATCAAAACTATAACTACAAATGGCATAATTCTAGGGTTTTTCTTCAAAATGAGGACACATTTTTAGAATGGCTTAAGACTTTTGTGATTAAAAAAAAGAAGACGTTAATATTTACAGTAAACTGTATGACAAAGATCAGTAAGAAGTAGAAATGCTTTAATAATCTGAGAGCCTGGGACTCAGGCAAAATGCTGACAAAATCCTGCTTCAAAATAGACACACAAGCTTAGTGCCGTCACTAAGGTCCTCTCTATCACACAGTATTTGCAAAACGAAACATTTAAAACAGTAATTTTTTTAATACAACACAGAAACACTACTTTTAAAAGAAGTACTCTAATATTTTTTTACACCAATTAGTCAATTCTTCAGCTGCTTGACAGTTTTCTAGGCTTTGCAGGAAGATTCACTTCCAAATACTTCTGCTTTGCTTTAGCCCACTGTCAAAGACAAAATGGCAACCTAAGCAAGGCTTTTGTCTTCTGAAGTTCTGCATTTGGTTTCCTCTGAAATAGGAGCATTAACAATATAGCCACAAGCTTCAGTGGGGAAATGTGCTGCAAACATCCTGAACTAAATATGACTCATTATTAATCTAAGCTGCTTGTCCAGTCACTGCACTACTCTATGATTACTTAAGCAGAAGGCTTCTTATCCCAAAATCAGTGCCTTCTGCAAAATTTAAGAAAGCTGGAACTCCTCTTCAGTAGGCAAAACCTGTATAGAGTTCCATACTACAGAAAATCAGGCAAGAAATCCAGCCATTCAGAAATCTGTGAATTTAGAAAATTAGTACAAGCAGAACAAGTACATTTTAAAATTCACACATGAATGCAAAGTCTTAGAAACACTTTTAAAAATATAGTTCTTGTATTAATTTCCCAGCTGCGACGGACTGACAAAACCAGGTGATTTTTCCAACTGAAGTCACTGATGTACCTCAAGCAAGTCAGCAGGGGGAGCAGGCAATCAATCTGGAAACAAAAATTACCAGTCTCTCTCTTTAAAATGTGGAAACATGACAGACAGTCTGGAAACACAGGAATACCAGGACACAAAAGCAGTGGGCACTTATACAGAAAAGCAGGTATTTACACTAATATATGCTACCGCCTCTTTCTTCCATTTGAGCGTTTAATGTCATGAGAGTTAATACTTCCCTCTCCAAACCTTCCCATTTCTTCACAGTGTAAATACAACTGTCTCTGTATTTAGATTTTATATTCAAGTCCCGGGAGCCCAGCATTCATATTCAATAGATAAAGCATAAATTAAATGATCAAACAGCAGCAATTGCAATGAATTCTGAAACTGTAGATCAAAGGACTACCCCCAGATGAAAAATGGAAGAGTAACTTAAAACAAGAACTATTTTACAAAAATCCCCTTCATGGGAGCCAATCACAAAACAGTTATTTTCCTCGGATGCACACATTTGTAAAATAACAGACAGCAAATATAAATTGCTCCATCTATTTCAGAAATGTATTAATTTAAGAGCATAACACAGACAATTAATAGATTATTCTTTTATTATCGGTGATTTGAGAACTAACATAGATCTGCTCTTATCTTGTTCTGCATTTTCTCTCTAAATTAAAAAAAAAAATCTCAGCTGGTTAGAACTGCCAAATACCTCTAGCTTCTTTACTAATAAATAAAGCAATTTTACACTTAAGTTTGTGATGTGCCCTTAAAACAAAATTCACAAGCTATTTAAAATGAAACAATCAAATCTGCTTGTGCAAAGATCATTTTATAAGCTTATTTTAATTTTCACATTTAATTAAATGAAAGTTCCTTAAAATGCTAGTTGATATAATCTGGCACAGTCATGCCAAAGACTTCAATAATTCAAGGAAAGAATTTAGGTTGAATCTGACGTGGTATTTACATATCCTTAATCACAGAGAGTATTTTGTAGCATTATATGAACTACAGCAAAGACCAGGCATGCCAAGCAAGTATCAGGTGGTACTGGACAGACTCAGTACAGGATGATGGCCCCTGCCCTGAAGCATTCACGAGCCTCTAGATAAACTCTAATTCCTCCTTGTAGGATCAATAAACAGATTGGTAAACAAAAGCACTATAAGGGCACTTACACCACCAACTTGCATCTTATCTACTGTGGAAAAAATCCCCAGATCCTCGCCATCTTCAAAACTGTGAAATGACTTACATTCTTCAACTTGTTCACTACAGTTCACTACTGTAGTGATTAAAATATTATATTAGCAGTAACAAGTGTCATATTTTAAGATCAAAAGTAATTTTATGTAGTTTCCCTTGAAGCAAAGGAGTAATCTCTGACTTTTTACCTGAAATTCATCAAAACATAAGAGAGCAGCCTCTTTGCTTATTTCCTCTGCCACCGGTGCAATTGGGTCATATGATTTGGCCATAAATCCCGCCTTTCTCTTTGGCAAGCTCTGCTTAAGGCGATGGATTCCTTAATTGATAAAACAGAAAAGAACAAATACGTCTTATTTCTTTTTCTAAGATTGGAAGAACAAAATTATTTAGCTACCAAATAAAAACTAGCCCAGTCTAGTAAAAATAAGAAAGCTTCAAACTTAATCTAGTTTCAGGAGGGCAAAACAGTTTTCAACCACATCCAGGCAACAGTTAAAAGTTCAGAGATTCTATGATTCATATTTTTTGTTTAGGAATATATAAAACAAAAATCAAAGAAGACTTGAATGCTGTGCACCTATACCTTATCTTTTATAAATAGATATTAATTACAGGCTTATCTTGCTCTGAAGGTATTTTTAGAATGCATTTAGTTAAAAGAATGCAGACATAGCAACAGAGTCATGCTTTAAAATGTGAAGATGATGACACTGGCAGAAGGTAAGATTATTATATCCATACTTTACTGTATGGATACTGATTGTATTGCATCTGACTACAAACAAACGTTTGGAAAACAATGACTCTGCAGTAGGAAGCTATCTTTGTTAAGATCAAGCACAAATGACAAAAAACGGAAATGGAAAATCTCAAGAGTGACCCAGTGATGACAGAAAAGTGAGCACTAGAAGTGGCTTAAGTTGTTTACACTGATGAAAGCCTCACAAGAAAAATGCAGCTGTCACAACATTTGTAAATTACAGCAATAGTTAACAATTCCACGGTCATATAAGGTCATAAAATTTGGAAACAGAAGCAAATTTTAGAATATCTAAAACAGCATCTCTGTTAAAACAAAGTGCTTTTCACCCTGTCAGAAAATTTTCTGAAACTTAGGATTAACTTCTTTCTATTATTTTTTCCTCCAAATTACTCATAGTATTACTAAGTTAATCAACCAGAATAGTTTCCATTCTCCTTGGCATTTATACCTGATTTAGTTATTCTTTATTCAAAACGCAGATGGAGTTTAACCTTTCCAGTTTCAGTTTTAGCAATTGCCTTCTTCAGATTTCATGTAAGCTAATTGGTAACTGGCAAACATTTAGTTAAGGATTTCATCCTAAACAACACACCCAAGTTTCTATACAATCAGGTATATATATATATATATCACTCTTTCAGAAAAGATATTTGAGAAATAATATGCAATTAATATCTATACTGGTCTGACAGACAATGCTAAAATGCTTCAACATTTCTCCTATTTTTTACCTTTTTTTTTCTTAAATACTTGAATAAATTTACAGTGATTATTATGAACATAAGAATGAGACAGACCTTTTTATAGATACCATATTTCATAAAATTCTTGTCAATACCCATGTCTGCACTTACTCTGGTGTACATCCAACATGAAACCATGAAAATGGACTCTCTTTTTTCTTTCTACTTCTAAGTGAGAATAGAACATGTCCATCACCATTGTCTTTCCTGTGCCTTCAAATAAAAACAATAAAAAGCACTCAACCGGTAGTTAAAGTACAGTATGTACTAATTACAACAATGATTGTTTGATAGCTTTGAATTAATGCAACAATAGTCTTCCACAGAGTAAGTACAAGACCAGACTGCTGTGAAGAACAGTTATGTTTTCTGTTCAAAAACTTGGAACAACTGCATGTTTATTTTTCTGTTTTAAAATTTTGATTCATACAGAGATGGCCCAAAGGTTGCACAAATTACTCCACATACATCCAGAAAACATCCTTAGTATTTCCTCCGGAAAGCAAGTATGATTTCATGCTGCACCGCTGCAATTAGAATATACGAATTCTCTCTGGTGGCCTCCACAATTACTTCCCAAATTCTTAAACTGCATTCTTAAATATTAGGGAATGGGTAATGCTGAAAACTACACATAGTAATGTGGCCCAATCAAACAGATTCCAGGATTCAGACTGTAATTGTATTAAATAACATCATAATGTGGAAGAAAACTAATCCTGTAAAATTCGTTAAAGCAATAAAGCTACATAAAGCTTTTAGACAGTTCAGAATTTGAAGAGACATGCACTAGAGAAAGTTCCATTGGATGGAAATGAAACTTACCAACATCTCCATAGACATAAACACCTTTGGGGGGTTTGTTTTTGGCAAGGAGCTGCAAGTCAAGAGAAAAAGAATAAATACGGATATGGGGTAAAATAAAAGCAAACATATTGCTGTGGTATAGCAAGAAAGTAGCTACACTTAACCACAAAAGTAGCACTAGCTAGCAAAGTGCAATCTTGAATAAATCATTAGCTCAGAATTGATAGGCAATCAATGTTGTATTTGTGTGAATTCTATAAAAGAGGTAAAACACACATGCAGGGTTTGGTTGGGCCTTTTTTCCACATCATTTTGAAAATATCCCCATTCCCAGTCCTAGCACACATGCCTTTTATATGTACATATATATATAATGATTTAATATTTCCCAATCTATCATCATCAAAACAAATCCTTTCCCTCATTAAGTCATTTGAACAGTTCTAGAAAAAAGGATATCAAATTAAGCAGTATTAATAGTATTCATAGATACATGCACTATATACCTATTAGAGCAGTTCTGCTAAAGATATAAACTCATAGATGATTCAGAAAATCAGTATTGCAAAGCCAGTGAGCATTGTAAGACCTCTTTCTCTCAGCTTTGAATCTTAAATGCAGAATCATCTCTGGTTTAAACATTATTAAAATAAATGGAGTCACAGTAAAAATAGGTACCTATATACACATGCCTGTGTGTGTATATGCATAAATATATAAAAATCTAAAAAAATATTTTCAAAAGTATACCTTTTATTAACCATTTTTTCAAGTGAGTTACTTTTATCTGGAACGAACACTGTTTAAAAATTTTAAATTTCTTAATATTATTCAGGACATATATTAGGACACCTGATGGTTTACTCTATTTTACTCAAATACATAAGAAAAACTTCAAATAACACCAAGACTTTCCATTTGAAATAGTCCTCTCCCTCTCCCCCCCAGTATTGTGCATAGCCCCTTCCAAGTATAATTCTGAAAAGAAACAGTTTCTAAAAAAATAGAGATCTTAAAAAAAATTCTATCAAATCCATGAAAATGAATTGATATCTGCAAAAACACTGCTGAAGAGTATTTGATTATTTTAAAGGGCTCCACTTTCAGAGCTCTATGGGGTGAGGCAACACAGAAGAATATTAAAATTGCAACCCAGGGGTCTCATTTGGAGCTGGGTAATTGCTAAACAACTTGAATCTAAAGCACTTCTTCAAATACAGTGCCATGTTAAAGAAATAGGGGAGTCAGCAGCAAGACGCTAATTGAATAGGAAAGAAAATTCATGACCAAAAGGTAGAAGGCTAACATCTCAGGTCTGGAGTACCAGTTCATTCAGAAAATATCCAAGCATGGCTCTTACATAAGATCCTCTTTTGGATTTCATTTAAGCTATATTAATAGGGTAATCAAAAATTTCTATCATCAATCTGTGGTTGGACAGGGTTTCAGATGTTCTGAAACCATTCCATTAATAGATAAGGCTGCAACCATTTGCTGGTGCTTTCAAAGCACTGCAAGACAATTTAACTGTTGAATATTTTTCATTGTGTACTTTTTAAGAGTTTGCACTCAGTAAAACTACTGATGCTCAAAGTTACACAGCAAAGAAAGGAGGAATGGAAAAAAATCCCAAAGAAAGACATTCATAACAATTTCTTTGGTTTTAATTTGATATTAACAACAGTCATTTTAACAAGACAAAAGATTATCACATTCAATTTATTTCAAAGAAAGGCTGTATCAATCTGATTTGCACTTTTACAAGGAATGACACCAAGCTAGAAAAATAAATCTGTTTAGAGTACAGCTGTACTTGTCTTTGTAAAGGTTATACGACCAGAACAAGTATTTCACTGCGAATTTTTTATTAATTACATTTAACCATTTTAATATTTGTCTTTTTAGGCATATTTATTTCTGGAAAACACGTTACAGAAAAAAGGAGTTTTGACTAACGGAAATAAATATAATGGCTTGAGCTCCATAAAAGCCTAAATCAATTTCTAGTTGATTAAAAAAATGAAATTAGCTTCCCTGTAAAGACAAAAATTTTTGAGTGATATCTAATTCCTGAAAAGGATGGGTACTACAGCAGATCCAAACACATCTGCTGAAGCTGGTCATCTCTAAAAGCAAATCAAACGTCAGAAAACCTCTCATCCCCTTTGAGGAATTCAAGAAGTTTGTAGGAAATATTTTACATATAATTCTGCCAAAAGTGACACTATTGATCACTTCAGTATAATCACTTCCTTAATCCTGTCAGGTACTGTATAATGCTAAGAATGTATTTTTATATTCTTGGGTTGTTTTATTGTTTTGTTTTTTTTTCTTGAAATATATTTTATTTTTAAAAAGTAAACTTGATTAGTAGATTTTTAATACTGAAAATTTATTTCAGGGAGGGAAGAGAGAGAAGTAGGAAATGTAGGAAGAGAAACTAAATGAATGAGCTTCTCCTCACTTCTCATTCCCATATTATCCTGACGAATATTTGGAGTCTTGGTATAATAATGTTCAATTTGTTGACAGTACATTTTCTTTTGCAACAATGGTAAGATTTAAGGATGCTGAAGTTAATATTTAGAATGTACTAACCCAGAGATAATAAGTGATGCACAAAATCTGAGTATGAAGGGGAGAATTTTGAAATGCTTATACATAAGTTTTAAAGGCTCCCCACACTCTTTCAAACAGGGGCATCACCTCAAATATGTCAAATGCTTGAGTCCTCCAAGTTTCTTAATTCCCAAAACATTCTTTGCAATAACTTAAGAAAGTATAGATTCAGTGCTTCACAGAGTTTCATTATCATCAAGACATGCTACAGCAGAAGCCTTTTTTCCTTTTATAGATAGTTGACTTACAGATTTTAATTTGAAAATCATTCATATCTTAAAAATATTTACACTTCCACAAGATGATACAAACATTAGCATCCCTAGATTTACAGAATTCTCTTCTGTGTTATCAAAATGTTTTCATAGAATCACAGAATGGTTTGAGTTGGAAGGGACCTAAAGATCACTTAGTTCCAGCCCCCCTGCCATGGGCCGGGATACCTTCCACTACACCAGATTGCTCAAAGCCCCATTTTACACATTTCTGTTTCAAAACTGCAAGCCTTGCTTTGATCCTATCAGATCAGATTTTTTCTTTGTTTAAACTTCACTTTCAATCAAACAATATCCTACCTCATCTAAGGAACTGAACTGGTCAGAACATCTCCTTCATTCTGACAACTTCTTATTCTTTCTTAAATATCTTCAATAACATGCAACATCCTCCCACCTTCTCCCACACTCAAACACCAGAAGCAAGTAACTCATTTCCTGGGAATATTTACACTCAGATTCGAAAAACTTTTAAGATGGTTAGGCTACTAAGGTGGTTAATTAAAATATGCAAAATCCAAGAGACAAGTCTCTCTTAAATGCTAACAAAACTGCCTCTTTCTCCCATTCTTTCAGGCTCCTTTTCGGCTGCTCTTGTAGTTGAAGACATTTTCAAGGTCTTGAATGGTGTTTACTATTGTTCATACCTCTTTTCAAAACATGACCTCACTTATAATTGAGCTTATTTCAAGTCATTAGTACAGCAACTCAACAACTCTTAAGAAGTCCCAATTGGTATTATTTTGAAAAGCTAGAGATCTGAAATGTCCGTGCAAACTCTTACAGCCTTGAACTTCAATTCAGAGGATCTCAAAATATCTCAACATACAAGGCCACACCTTCATCAAGTTGAAGATCAAAGTCCTTGTTCAAATTTGAGCAATAATTTTGAAAAACAGAAGCCTACTTAGTTGGTAGCAAGACTAATTGTTTTTCCCTAAGATTCCTTCTAAGATGATGACCCAAAAAACTACATCACAAAAAAAAATAGAGTTTTATTACCACGAAGAAAAATGGTTGATGTCATGGTGTGTGTCCCAAACTACTCATTTCAGAAAGCTTTGGCCTGTGAGGCAATATAAATCCCTTCTATAAACACTGAAATGCTTCTCTATTGTATCTGATGCAAATATTTGCTCCCTAATCCTCCTTTTACCATATTTTACTGAATAAAACTATTTAGACAAAAAGTGACAAAAGAAGAACAAAATTAAAACCAAAGCAGAGCATTCTTGTAATGGGTGTGAAGTTTCTATTTCTGGAATAACAGCTATTTTGGAAGAGGTTTCTGCAATTCTATCACAGAAGAAATCAGGCAATAAAACAAGGAAGATCAGACTACAGAAGAGGCTGAGAGATGCTTCTCTTCCACCACCCCCTTTTCTTCAATGCAGCCTCTCAACCACATTCTCTTCAATGACAGACCCAGGAAAAATGAGTACACTTGAAATGCCAAGCACCACTAGTTTTTTATTTCTTAAAAGCTGCCAGTAGATAAACCTCTTCTCAACACAGGAGATTTCATACTAAAGGTAGGCTAGTCAAGTTGCCAAAAACCTCCTGAAAAAGCAAAAAGTCAATCTACAAGATACTAAGTATAACTGATAAAGTATTTGATTTTTTTAAAATAAATCTTTAAATAATTTAAAATACAACCATTTGTTTCACTTATATCTATTAAAGCCCATTAAGTACAAAAACAAAAATGAAACCAACTGTTCTATCACAAAAACATAAGGTTTATCTTTTACTTCCCAGCATATTCAAAGTTAGAAAGTACCAGGCCCTCATGGGAGGAGAGTGCCAACAAACTATTCACAAACAGGGGATTTACCCGTGCCCTGTATCATTAGTACTCCATGGAGATGCCTTCTACTAGTTACATGAACTAATTCCACTCATAAATCTACACAAATCCTATTCAACCCAGGCCAATTCCAGACAGCAGTACTCACCATCACCTCTTCTTGCCTTGAAAAGCCTTAGTTCTACTCTCTAAACCCGAACCAAGTCTGCAACAGCATCCCTACTCTGGAAGTCCATGATAGAAAAACAGGTATTTTGCTTACTTAGGAAACTCCTGAACAGATGCAGACATATGACAAGCATATGATTTTGCCAACTACCTAGTCACAGTTGTGACTTATTCTGGGGAAAACCTTCATTAAGGATGCTGATTACAACTTTGCTGAAGCAAAACCTTGCCTGCACTAGAATTTAATCCATACTCTATTTGGCTTCATTTTATCTCAAAAGGAGCTCTGTTTGAACTGGCAAATAGCATCCTCAAAGACAACAGAACAGAAACAAAGCTGTTGTGACTTCTTCAGCCTGAATCATGATTTGATTTAATTACAAAAGCTAGGCTTTTAACAGATTTACGCAAAATTCACTGCTCTCCTCCTTTTCTGGAGTTTTGATGTATGGCATGGCACTACAGTGCTCAACCTTGATTATCATCTTGAGATTTCCATAGAAATATCAAGCTCTAGAAGAAAAACCTTGTACTGCAACAACACTCACCCCAATAGCAAGTAGTTCTACAGCTGCTTCTCACTGACTGTGGCATTAGTTCCACCAATGAGCCATACAACAATTTTTAAAAGCTGGTTTAAAATTAAAGCATGGAATTGAAGCAATGTTAAATAAAGAAGTGAAGTGCTTTAAATGAACTAGTGAAAAACACATTCTCATCTTAAAAAATGGCATTTGACTTTTTCCTTTTAAGGAAGCGTCAGTCAGTCTGGTTTTATTGCAATTAGCTCTGTTATGTAGAGAAAAAGTAGCATTACATTTCCTTAAATAAAATAAGATTAGTATTTGTTCTCTACAATACAGACTTTCTTCCTTATTCATGCTTCCCAATGAAAGAATCAGTAAATAACCCATACAATGGTTGATCTACAAAGCCAGTATAAAACACCTAATCTAACAGTGATTCAGCTCTCCAAACTATTCTCAAAGGCAGCCCTTTCAGAACCTAATAACCAAATGTCCAAAACAGTTTTCCAGTAAAGATCAAAATGCTTTAGCCTACTGATCCTCAGGTTTGACAGCAAGACCAATGCCTTCATCATAACATTTTTTCTAGAATATGAAAATGAATAAAAGTCTGGCAGTATGTCCAAAAATATTACAGAAGCAAGCCTGATAACTGCCTCCCTTTCAAGTGACTTCTTCTATAGTCCAGGCGCAGTAAGACAATTTCAAGATAGGCAAATTAAAAGATTATGAGCCTAACATCAAAGATTAAAAAGAAGTCCAGATAGATGAAAAAGAAAAACAAACCTCAAACCCAAGAAATTTTCACATCAACAATTCTCAAGTTATAAAACTCTGGACAGATAGATTCCACTTATAGAAATAGTTTGGCAAGCTGATTCCAGCTTGATCTCCTTACACTTAAGCAGAAAAGGTTTGCATTCAGGCATGCTGCCATATTGCTCTTGATACCAAAGATAAGAAATAACCATTTTTCAAAGAGGAATTTTCTATTTTTCATTTGGTACTTGCTGAAATCGCATCAGGAGACTGATTTAGACTCAAGAGTTAGCCCACAAATGCATTAAGACAACATGAATTTACAGGCACATGCCCACATACAACATTAATAAGTGTTTTAAAATACCATAAACATACAGTTTTCAACCTACATCTATAATTTATACACTGTTTTTATGTTTTTAATAATATTAATTAAAGAAATCCCAAAAGTAAAAAGGTAAGCAATGTGATGAAATGACTCATCCGCCAGAGCAGGCAAAAATATACTCCAAACCCACAAGTTTGGCTCCAATGCCCACATCAGAGTTAGAATCATTGAAAGATTTGGCTTGGCAGTGATTTCAGAGGATCATGTGGCCAAGCCCTCTGCATAAATTGGATCACAGAATATCTCAAGTTGGAAGGGACTCATAAGGATGATGCTTCTACAACAGAGCTTCCAAAGACACACTCATTGCCCTTTAGGAACAGTCTTGCCTTAGGACTTCGCTTCCTGTACTTGCATGTTTTTTCTTCCAGAGTGCCTGACTGTTGCTCCATGGAATTATTTCCCATTCAGGTTTCTTCTCAATAAAAAAAGAGCTCCTTCCTTCCATCGGGAGGCAGGAAGACATTTAAAGCATTTTCAGTCAAGCATATGATTAGCAAATATATTATCTGCAGCTACATATCCGAGTTTTAGGCATTCAAGCAATGTTAGAGGAAGACCATAGGCAAGCACATCCCAATGCTCTGCACCCTGCTATACTAATACAGGTACTAAACAGGCCCATTCACAGGTATAATATGTGTTCTCTTCTTTACTTTTTTTCACACCTTGAAGCTAATATTCATTGCAAGAACCTCAGAGTGGTAACTTGTCATTCAGTACATAAAGGCCAGAGGAAAGTGTGCCATTTTAAGGGACTTGAGACTTGTAGGCTTTGGCTCCCCTGATCCCATGCTACATCATCTGGGCTTGCCATGCTAACAAAATACAGTATTTGTGCCAGGTAACAGGAGAATTTGGGGTTGTAATGGGAAGTATATGGTTAGGTAAGAAGTTCAATAGTTACACATTTAGATTTACGTTGTGTAACAAATGCTGAGAAAGGCTGACATGGAGCTTTGTTAGCAAGGACTGCAGATGGTGGCAAACATTGACTGTAAATGTGACAGTTACTTCTGACGATAAATAAAACCAAAAGTGTGCAAGAGAAATAGAGAGAGCACAGGAAAAACACTCTGAGGCTGGCTGGGAAAAACAATGACAGTTTCCCTCCTTCTAGAGGCAGGGTGTCTCTCCAGTGCAGATGATGAAGGCAGTGTGTATTTTGCCATACTTTTTTCCCAGCACTATACTTTTATCATCAGACTCAGTCAAACACTCTGTTCTTGTTTCTCCTCACCATAGCTTACGACTATTTGTGTTGACTCCAGTATGTTAATCAGGTGCAAATGAAGTATATTCACTGGTTGTTTAGCTTCTGTGTACATCTATGATGGCCTAATATTTACCAAGTAATTAAATGTCTTATGTACTTTGGTTTTCTTGAATATAAACTCAAATCTACAAAAACAAGGGTCAAGGAAAGCTGAGGGGGAATTCTCACACCAGTTCTAATTGCTTCCCATAAGAGCCTACCATAACAATGCTATCAATATTTGCAGGTGCAAGGCCACAACAGCAACAACCTGAGAATAGCATGAGAACAAGACATGAACTACCATCAAAGAGGCTCTGGAAAACATTGTGTCAAGAGCTTCAGGGAAAAGTTACAGAGATGCAACAGCAGGCTAACAGCTACTAATGCTAAGGGACAATGATTGACAAGTCTCTGTTCAACAGGGATATGTCTGAACTTTTGTTAATCCTTTGAAAAGAAACTGTGATGCCCCTCCAAAACTCAATCAGATCACACCTCTGCCTTCTTTGTCACCTCACCCAGAGACAACAACATGGGAAAAAATTCTTTTAAAGTCATATCTGATCTACAGTATGATGTGGAAATTATTCATGAAAGATCTGTTAGAACACAAAACATTAGTGTTCAGTTAATGTAATTCAAACACACAAGTATAATATCCATGATTGAGAACTAAAACCCAGATTAGGCCCCTCTCTCCTATAGCCAAATAACATTTTGGAAAGGCAGACAGTGGACACAATTAAAACCAGATTTTCTTGTAGAATTATTTCAATAATATTTAATTTGGTTACTTCTAGAGTGCCACTGGATTTTATAAACCAAAAAAAGCAAGAACAGAGACTGAAATATGAAGAATGATGTATCTGTAAAGACCTATCTGGAAAAACAAGATTCATGCTAATGACAGAAACTTATGTATTTTAAGCACATTCTTATGAGCAAATATAAATGCAAAAAACCATTTTTATCACTATAAGCCTCACCTTTGAGAAAAGATTTTTTGAATCAATGCTGTAGCCTTTAAGGCTCTCATGCAACTTCTGCAGGTGCTGCACAACTCTTCTTTGTTGTTCATCATTCTTCAGCTCTTCTTGCTTAATCAGAAACTCATAATGTTCTAAAGGTCCATTGCAAACCAACAAGGCTTTGGCGTGAGCATCTGTAGGAGTACCAGGGCCTGTCTTCTTCTCTGCCTGAGCTGTGTATGCTGTAAAAAATAAAAGTAGCCTATTAATAGAGATGTTTTGAAAAGCATTTTCTTATAAACAGCACACATTCGTAACAGTTTACACAAAGACATATATAATTACTTACCTATACAACCACTAGACTATGTTACCCCTTCATTTTTCATCAACTAAATTTCTACCTTTACTCCAGTAGTATGTTTTACCATTTATTTTTTTTTATTAAAAAATACACTCACTAAGAAGCCCAGCTGGACACTTGGTAAGATTTGGATGAGTTATTTTAAGGGAAGTTTTGACCTTTTTTTACCAAACTGGGGTAAAACTTCCAAAGGGCATTTCTTTGAATAGATAATCCTTTAGATGATACTTTAGAAAGTGTTTAAAAGTCAGCAAACAGGAGACCAAACCAGGAGTTCTGTAAGGAAGTTGAGAGAGTCAAACACCATACTGAGCAAGGCAATAGCCGTGAAACCCTGCAATGCCATGGCCTGTTCTGCCGGCATTATCTTCTCCCTAGAAGAGACAGGGATGAGCCCAAGCAGGAATTCTGCTGGAAACAAGAAATCAAAAAAAAAAAAAAATTGCTAGACATAAAATAAGATATAACTAGGAAAGGAAAGAATGTACAGCATTACAAAGAAGGCTAGTCAAATCATTAGGATCAGAAAGAATGGCATACACTGAAAAGCTGCTAAGTACCTTCTTTGCTTCTACTGTCATTTAATAGGTTAAGAATAATAAAGAAAAACACAATTTGTAGCAATGGTAAAGGGAACAGATTTGAGTGTAGGAAAAACACATATCAAAGACTGCACAATTAGATATTTTTAATACTGTGAGATCTAAAGAAATTCATCCCTAAATGCTTTCGGTAAGTGTCCTAAACAACACAATGGCCTCTAACAGCTTTCTTTGAGGCCTCACTGAAGGCAGGTAAGGTTCCAAACCATGAGGAAAATGAAAAAGAATTTGTCTTTTAAAAAGAAGAGAAAGGTAAATCCAGAAATTCATAGGCCAGTCAACACAACTTCAGAACACTCAAAAATACCGGAACAACTACAAGCAGATTTTTTTTTTTAATAAAGTACTTAAGATAACATAACAAACAAAAGGCAACATCCGCTCCTCAGGAACAACACAAGATCAAAAGGTTTTTCTCTCTGATCAAGCAATATGCTTAATGGGTAGAGGAAAAACATCTTTATTGCAGTAACACTTTTGTTACACACCAAGATTATAAAGCAATTCAGTGATGGTTGCCCAACCCTGCAGATGTCCTCAAACAACATATACAAGGACAACTTTCCCTTTAACATGGAAGCTGAAAAACCATGCCTAAAGCCACTGGATTTGCTCTAACAACTTTTTCTAAATGGCAGTATGTTGGTTATAAAAAACAAACTCCAGAGGTTTCAAGTGTTAGACCAGTATCAAATAGAACACATGCAATCAGCATACTACTAACTGCAGTGCTTGTCTATTTTTCTTAGGATATATAAACATTGTACAATCACAACATAATGTGTACGTGAACACTTATGAACCCTGGGACCCACCTGTCGCCGACTGAATTGTCACCACTTTTGCTAGACTGGCAGAGGACGAAGAGCTCTAAGTGAAGAAAAAAGACTTCTGCTCCTAACCTAAGCTTCAAGTTCATAAACTTCCATAAATTTGTGTACTGTACTGAATTTTAAAGCAAGGCTTAGAACACGGCTGTTGTTATGCATCAGAAGATCCTTGAAGGAAAACAGTCCCTCAGACATCCTACAGCCCAGGCCCGGCGCTGGCAGCCACCGGCGCACTCGCCGAGCACCCGAGGCAGCCGCAAGGCAACGCGTTTAATCAGGCACCGCACCGCAGCCCTGTTTCCCGGGGGGAAAGCGGCACCATTCACTCGGGAAGCCACAGGGCCCCGTCCGCGTGCCCCCCCCCCCAGGGGATCGGGGCCAACTCCCGGCGCCACACCGGCAGGCGCGTCCCGTCGCGGGCAGGCCCAGGACAGGGCACAGGAGGACACCGGCAGGTCACGGTACCACGGCGGCGGCCCACCCCGCCCGGCACCAGCCCCCTGTCCCCTAGTCCCGATCCGCCTCCGCTGGGGGGAGACCCGCGGCACGGCAGGGAGGGGCGCGAGGGACGCACCGGCTCCTGCGGCCGCTTCTCGGTGCCCTCCCCGCGCAGCGCCCCGGCAGCCTGTGGCCGCCCGGCCGCACTGACCTCTGAGCGCCGGGAGCAGGCGGGTGCAGCGCCGCGAAGCCCGCAGCAGCCACGGCGCTGTAGCCAAGGGCGACACGAGCGCCGCCATCTTCCCAGCCCGGCCACCTCAGCGGGGGCGCGGGGCGCGCTGGGAAATGGAGTCCCGCGGCCCTACGGAGGAGCCCGTCGCGGGCGGAGCTGAGCCAGCGCTCCCGCCTGGGTCACAGAAGCACGGAATCAATTGTTTGGCAAAGACCGCTGAGGTCATCGAGTCCAACCTATGACCGAACACCACCATGTCAAATAAACCACAGCACTGTTAGGAATAAATAAGTGTTCTTGCAAAATTCGTAGTGTGTGTGGTTGCATTTGGTGGTGGGAAGTGACAAGTTATTGGTTGTTCAGTTGTTTAGTTATAGAAAGATGCAGTTTGCCCAGAAACAAGGGGACCATGTGATGGGAGGACACACTGTAGGCATCGAGAAGGCTGTAACCCCGGAGTACCTCAGCCATTGGGGAAACGGGGAGGGACCTGCGTTTCAGGCAAGGGAATAAAAGAGGCTGCGATCTCCATTAAGTTGAGAGACCTCACTAGGGATTGGCCAGAGAACTCTCCCTTTTATTCGAATAAAAGTTTAGTTAGCTCCTCTGTCTCTGGGATATTTTTGAGGCTTATAATAACAGAAACAAACAGGTATATTATTTTTCAGTACAGCACTAAGTGCCACGTCCAGCCTTTCCTTAAACACCTCCAGGGAGATGTTTAAGCCTTTCCTCCTCCACCTCCATCACCCCCCTGGGCAACCCATTCCAATGTCTAATCACCCTGTCTAGGAAGAAATTCTTCCTAATAGCCAATCTAAACCTCCCCTATGTCCTCCCGTCACTAGTTGCCTGGGAGAAGAGACTCACTCGCACCTGGCTACAACCTCCTTTCAAGCAGTCATAGAAAGTAATAAGGTCACTCCTGAGCCTCCTCTTCTGCAGGCTAAACAATCCCAGTTACTTCAGCCACTCCTCATAGGACATATGCTCCAGATCCTTCACCAGCTCCATTGCCCTTCTCTGGACTCACTCCAGCACCTCAGTGTCCTTCTTGTAGTGAGAAGCCCAAAACCAAACACAGTGTTGCTTCACCAGTGCCGAGTACAAGGGAACAATCACTTCCCTGGTCCTGCTGGCCACACTGTTGCTGACATAGGCCAGGATGCCATTTGCCTTCTTGGCCACCTGGGCACACTGCTGGTTCATGTTTACCTGGCTGTTGATCCTTTGCCAGTCCCTGGTTCCTTCCCCCTCTCTTTGCCCTCCAAACTGCACCACAAGCAGTGGAGCAGCCCTTGGAGAGCCCACCTTCCTGCCTGCCTGCCCAAGGGCTGTGTTCCCCGTGCCGCTCTGGCCACTCAGCAGAAATTGCAACTTCCAGACCCATCTGCAGCTGCACATAGCGCCTTACCGCCCTACCCATGCACTCCAGTTTGCAAACAACTTTCTTGACCATCTCAACACGAGGAAGAAGTTCTTTACATTGAGGATGGCAGAGCACTGGAACAGGCTGCCCAGAGAAGTCATGGAGTCTCCCTCTCTGGAGGCATTCAAAACGCACCTGGACACATTCCTGTGTAACCTGCTTTAGATGACCCTGCCTTGGACTAAATAATCTCCAGAGGTCCCTTCCTATCCTAACTATTCCATGATTCTATAATTTGTATCATGCTGCACCGTGCCTGTATTGGGTGCCGCAGTTCTCAGGTCAGCTTGGCTGTAACCGAGGAGTTTTGGCAACTGAATTTGCATTTCTTGATCCTTTCTAGCGTGTGCTATTTGATTTTATCTTTAAAAACTTGTACCATAAAATACTAAGGACAAATATTTGTAAAATATTAAGAACAATATTCCTGTCCAGAGTTACAGTCTATCCGCACATTAGCTGTATCAGTTTATGTCTATCAGTATAAGTTTATGTCTATCAGTATCACTTTTATGCCTATGAATATATATTTAAAACTCAACAAGAAGATACCTTAACATAAAAACAAATTTCCCCAAAGATAATGCAAAATCTAGAGGCTGATTCAGTCCTGTTCAGCCAGTTTGTTCTTAGCACACAGTAAGCCTTGTCCTTGGTATCAGTTCAGATACCCACATGTGGCTCGCGAGAGCTCCTCAGGAGAATGCCAACTGCCTTCCTCCTTTGGTAGGTACCTGACTGCCTTATCCAAACACCTCCACTGTGACTACAAAGCTCTTTTGACAGAAAGGCACAATGCAAAAAGCCTGTCCTCCATGGGAAAGGCACTGGCACTCAGGAATCACCAACTGTAATTCTCACTTGTTCACTGGCTGGGCCTCCATTCCCATCAGAAATGCACCCAAAGGTCAGGATGGGCCTTCAGGAAATGTTGCTTGCAGAGTGCATTGTGCAAGAAATGGATAACAAAATATCTGCTCCTGATAGAAGCACAAAGGAAATGCTTAAACTGACTTTTAGTTCTGCAATGTCAGAATTCCTATGTCTTATTCTAGCATTAAATTTCTGTGCAACATTAGAAGGCAAGCAAGTAATTTTCCTAGGCTACCAATTAACTTTTTTTTTTTTTAACAAATGTTTTGGAAAATGTTGCTTTAGGGCACTATAGAATAGCTTGCAAACAAAAGTTGATTATATCCTGAATAGTATTGCTAATTCTAAAAATAATGTTTATGATCTTGAAAATATTAAGTGATTGAAGTTATGCTCTAATATGTTCAGCTGTTGTAAAATACGTAGTTGCTGCAGACTACATCTTTAGCGCAATATACCTAATTAAGTAGTGAACTAAAGTGCTTTTTAATCACATCTTAAAAGTGCTGTTTTCAGTGCATTTTCTTTCATCTTTCCTTTATTGGGCATTTATTGGTTTTGACTCATTGTAGCATATTATAGCTATCAACACCTGTGTCCATTTAGGAACGAATTCCAGTACAAATCATAGTGCATTGAATAGATGTCTCAGAGATGCATCACAATTGTCGCAATATATTTAGAAACTCAAACAAGGAAACAAACAACTTCAGTAAAAATGATTTAAATAACAAATAAGTTATCTTTATAAACAGCTTATCTCCTTGAGAACAAAGAATAAACAAGGCAACAAGAGCTGGGTTTTCTTCCATTATTAACTCAGATCACAATATGAATGGGTGAAATGTCAAGATAATTGGAGAAAATGACAGTATAATCTTCAGCAAAAACATCTGATTTATTTAAATTGTCACTGTTTTTTTCTTAACCTTGTTATGCAAGACAGCATAGAAAAACTTCCCGTTTGGTTCTATTCTGACATCTTCTACCTAAGTGAATAAACCCTCTGCAATGCTATGAGCCTTCTATACATGGGCAAACCCTGACATGCCACCGCGCAGTGGATTGCACACTCTGGGAACTCATTGTCTGTTGGCTGTAAGCACTTGGCAAAATGAAGTTTTGGTGTTAACCTAAATGAACAGGACTTTCAAGTACACTTCTGTAGACTACCATGTTAACGTCCTGGGACAGATACAGATCCATTCTGTGGAACACTTGTACCTATGCCTTTGCTCACCTTCAAAAATGTGACATTGCAACTGTGTAGAAATTAAATTAGCACTTGTTCAACTGCATTATTAATCTGTCAGCTAGCCAAAAGTATAGGTGGTCTTGAAGAGGAATATAAATCAGGAGTATAATCAAACCACTCCAGGGGTCCTGTCTGGCCTCTAGTGGTATAAACTGCACTGCTTTTAGAAATCTGGATGTGTTGAACCTTATGGGGACAGATGTGTCCAAGGGTGTTTGGGTCTCTGCCAGACTCCTTCTGAGTTTCTGCAGAAGGAGGGCTGAGTTTACCTGCCTGCAAGACTCCAAGATATTCCCACCATGGGACACATCTTTGGCTCCCAAATAGAAATGCACTTTTGATATAGAACTAACCATTCAGCCTACTCTATGAAAATGAATTTTGTGGCTAGTTTTCATCAACACAGTTTCCATCAAAAGTCATTTTCCTGTCAAAACACTTTAGTAAACTTGATATTAACCTCATCTATTTTGAGTCAATCAAATATGCTGTTAATAATCCACATTGCTTATAAAGCCTCAGGTTAATAAATCTGCATAAATATTCCCAAAATTATGGACTTACAGCCATTTTCACTATCAGTTTACAGCTTACTTCTAATAGCTCAAACAGCTCAATGTGTTAGAAATTCACTGCACAGTCTTTCAGCTACACAGGCACTACTTGGTGTCTCTCAGAACAGGAGTTCACAATATATGTATATATATCAACGTGGATATTACAAATTATACTTAGAAGCTTAATATTATTATCTGGCAGGCAAGTACACAATGCAGATATTCAAACACCATGTTTCAAAGCACTGGCAGCTACTGCAGGGATCAGGAAGTAATTTTTCCACATAAGGCATTGCACAATTAGTTCAATGCCCTGTGAGTTTTGTCTTATCCTGAGTCAGCATTCCCCACAAGACAAAATATGCCTGTGATGTTTAAAATGTGTTAACCTAGGCACTTGTCAGAAATGCTGAAGAGTCCTAACGGGATAATGGAGAGATTTGGTTTCCTTTCCAATTAAATGTGACTTTTTCTTTTAAAAAAGCAAAGAAATAAACAAAAAACTACTGGAGAGGTATTACTTTACAAAATTCAAGAAGTAGTCATCCATTCATAACTGCTTATATGGGTTCATGCTATGAGACTATGGTATCCATATTAATGTTCTGCCAGAAAATCTGTGTCATAGTTGAATAAACAATGTGTAGTAACAAATCTGTGAGTATATAAATGCTTGGTTTCTTGCATCTAATCTTTGGACCTACAAACATAGCTGACCTCTCTCCCTCCAGATTTGAAATCTGGCCCAAAGTTCATGTCAGAAACAGAATTAAAACTTTCTTTTCCATATTTATGCTCACTTTCACCCTGAGAAAAGAACCTTTCTAGCAAGAAGAAACAACTGCAGAGAGCTTAAGTCCAGTCTCATGATTACAAAAAACATCTGAAACATGTTACAAAATAATCAAATGCATTTTCTGAGGATTGGAAGAAAACAAGGAGGATCACAAAACTCTGCTTTTCCCCCACCTTCATTCCTT